TTAGTCTGAGCAGAGTCAGAGCGCACTGTCCTCATCAAAACAGTCAACATCAAGACATGATCAGATTTATTGAGCTCAAATCAGCAAAATCTAGAGGCCTTCACCTTTCATAGAGACACTTCTGACACCAAATCAGCAACTAAAGGTCAACTTATTATTTGTTGTTCCTAAAACTTAAATAGGCCACAAGACTTCTGTCAGGTAGTGTATTATCAGCCTGATCTCACAAGAAAACGTAAGTATTTTATGTTTTGGCAGTTTAGTGGCTAATTCGTACGAGTTCAGTCGTAAGAAATTGTACGATTTTAAAAAGGAGGCGTGGCACCTAACCCCACCCCTAAACCCAACCGTCATTGGGGGATGAGCAAATTGTACTAAAATGTACGAATTAGATCGTACGAATTCATACGAATTAGCCGATAAATGAAAAAGTTACGAATTGCTGTGAGATTATGTTGGTATTATTCAATTGTCTAAAAAACAAATTACTTAATTGCCATAAATTGGTTAAATAACCTAGTTAAGCCTTTAGATGTCACTTTACTAGTATACTAACGTTACTAGTGTCTTGAAGAATATCTAGTCAAATATTGTGTGCTGTCATCATGGCAAAGATAAAATAGATTAGTGATTAGAAATGAGTTATTAAAACAATTATGTTTAAAAATGAGTTAAACAAAAATCTCCGTTAGACATCACTTGGTAAATATTTGTAAAAAAAGAATACAAATTTCACTGGAGAGCAAATATATTAGCATTCAGTTGTAAGTAAATAAAAAGATTGACTGACTTAACTATCTGCAGTGTTTTCTTTGTATATTTGCAGGTACAAATTTAAAGTCCTGACACACTTAAAATGAATCCAAAGCACTTGTGTAGTCTCAAACTAAATGATGTATTTTTGTGAGTTAGTTTGGCTCACTTTCCTCCATTCAGAAGTGTATAACTGTGCTTGAAAAAATTGTTTGTTTTCCAGTTTGTCTCATCATCTCTGCCAGAGTTATTTTATTCTAAGGCAAAGGTGGTGTAATGCAATTTTTTTTGTAAATTTCCACCTACCCAACTTTGAAGTCTCGCCATATCTCCATACAGTGGTAAAAAATGCAAACTCTCATTTTCAATTGACAAAGAACCCTCTGAAATTACAGACAGGCTGCTGAAAGTAATGAATATGACTGTGTGTTTTCTGGCTATGTTTGTATATACCACCTTGAAAAAAATGGACAGACACAGTTTTGTTTGATACTAGAAGATGACAGATGACTCTATTATTCTGTATGCAATAATTTTTGTAATTACAGTATTGGAATACCCCTTTTTACTAAGTCCTAATTATTATTGTTATTATTAATAATAATATTATTGTCATTTATTCATTTTCTTTTCGCCTTAGTCACTTTATTAATTAAGGGTCGCCACAGCGGAATGAACCGCCAACTTATCCAGCATATGTTTTACACATTATATTATTGTTATTATTATCATTATTATTATTATTACTACTACTACTACTAATTATAAATAAATAAATCCTAATCTAATAATGATAAGCTATATATCATTGAAAGGTTTAAGACTCCTGGACACATATTTTACTGCTGTATTTTGTTTTTTGTTACGTATTAAGAGTAATAAAATTAAATAATAGTTAATTAAAAAGTAATTAAAAGCTAATTTTATATTGTGGTCTAACATAAAGCAATTAAAACAAACTATATATCATCTGAAAGCTTTAGTGTTCTACTTTCCATGTGTGGTTACTGATTTCTGATTGGCATCACAGAGCAACAGTTCTTGATTCATTTGGATACTCAAAGCATTACTTTGCTAAAGCAATCCACATGTAAAACTGATTTTTGATGTTTTTTAAAGCCTAAATTCATTTTAAATAGCAACAAATTTTCCAGATTACTTTAGAATTTTTAGTCTGCTTAACAAAGATTATCAAAAGTTTGAAACAATATGGTTCATATTCATCAAAACATGGGGGCACCTGTATAAGATCACCAATGGAAACTGAATGTCTGTTGGTCATGTCTGGTACTGCAGTAAAAATCTCACTGAAAGCTAATTTTTTGAGACATCAACTTCTAATTTGGAGTTTGATTTGTTCAGATATTTAGCTTTGATTTGGTCTATTTTAGGCTAAAACTGGCTTGTGAAAAATTTATTCTATGTAATATAACAAAAAATCTACAATGATTGTTTTATTATTTTCATAAACATACAGGGGTAAGCAATTTTCTCAAATCTATTCACCAAAACATTGCAATTAGCAGTCATTAAAGTTGAACGTGATTTTCATGTCTATGTTCAAAAGGTAGGAGCAACAGTGAAGGGGTTAAGAGGTTAATTTGGGCCTAAAAATGGTTCACATTGGACACATTCATCATTGGAGAAACTAAAAAAAAAAATGCACTCTGAACATTTAGGACTGATATCAAATGTTCAAAATAGAAACAAGGCTGAAAACGAGCCCAAACACTGAATAATCAGGCCATGTGTAAGTGGGTCTTCAGATGTGGGTCAGTCACAGAGAAGTGGACTGATCCCCAGTGACTCCAGTCCAGCGCTGGTGTCTTTAGGCAAGGTCACACCAGTGTCTGGGGCTTAATATGCACTTTATTCTTACTGTTACAGTACTGAAACATTTAAGCAGTTCTGTGCCAGAGTATTAGGCCATGATTTATTGTATTATCTGTGGCTTTAACAATTCAAGAGCATCATACTACAAACAGCTTTATTAAATTTGTGTATGTAATTTCTGTATAATTATAAGACTCGTTGCAGAATTGAGGGTTCACTTGAGGCATTTTACAATCATTTTCCTTGAATTTGAATGATATACAACTAATGAATAATTGACAGTAAACTAACACTATTGTTAATGTATGATGATGCAACATGCTTACATGTGATAGAAAAAATTTGATTGTTTCTGATTGTTTTTTATGTATTATGTAAAAAAAAGTTGACAGTAACAGAGTTGACCTTAGTAGAGTTGACGGTAACAGTGTTGACAGTAACAGTGTCAACAATAGTAGAATTGACTTGAATTGAGTAGAGTTGATACTAACAAAGTTGACAATAGTAGAGTTGATCCTAAAAGAGTTGACGGTAACAGAGTTGATTTAGTAGAGTTGACAGTAACAGTGTTGACAGTAACAGAGCTCATCATTGTAGAGTTGACAGTAACAGTTGACGGTAACAGAGGTGACTTTAGTAGAGTTGAAATTAACAGAATTGACCATAGTAGAGTTGATGGTAGCAGAGTTGACTTTAGTAGAGTTGATGTTAACAGAGGTGTCAGTAACAGAGTTGACAGTAACAGGGCTCATCATAATAGAGTTGACAGTATCAGTTGACGATAACAGAGGT